CTTCTTGTCTGTCAGAAGTAATCACGCACAGGTAGCAGGGTTAATCGATAACTTTCCATCTGTCAAATTTTAACCAAAAGTTAAAATAATCCACCAAATGGTTCAGAGCCTTAGTATGACCACAGACAAACAGACGTAACACTTCATCGTGTATCTTCGTTCACGCATTTAACGGTTGATTTGAATATTATCAGTTCCGCGAACTACTCGCCTCAGCGCTGGCATCGGATCACTTTGACGTTTCTATACATTCTATAGAACTTGTATGCAATATTGTTAGCGAGTTAGAGAGCAAGCTTGTTTTCCGCGAGAAGCCAGAGAGATGTCGTTACTGAGGACCTATGTTTTGAGATACTATGTTTTCAAGAAAAACTTTTTCAAAGTGTTACGTCTGTTTGTCTGTGGTATGACAGTTATTCTGCAGAGAGCATTACGCATTTCAACTGACGGCCCTATCCCTTCTCATAACAATTTTCATCCTGAATTCGAGAGGAAAATTGCAAAACAACCGTCATCTGGTTGCAGCTATCATTCGAAAAAGCGATTCCGGTGTTTTGTTTTGAGTGGTCTGAGGTTTAATTCGATCAGAGGATGATTTTTGTGTACAGTGTAAGTCAGTGGATTTTTGAAAATGGGTCGTGTGTCGCATAAACAAGACCAAAATCATAACCGTGTTGGTTGGTTTACTGAAGCTCTCTACATATGGTTATTGCAAAAACGACAGCGCCACCGACCGGTAAGCCAACAAATGCTACAAGTTCAAGCAAAAAAGTAGAAGGGTCTGTGCCTAGGGGCACGAACTGAAGCTTGACGTAGGACCGCTAGTGGACGGAATAAATGTGAAGAGCATTTAGTTCTTTTAATTGATCAATTATCTACTATCTCAACTTTTTCCGTTTTTGAATTCCAAGTTTGGCTACAAGATTACAACTCTGGAGGGCATTTTGTGTGGTCGTTGGGGGCCTGCGGTTCTGAATATGGACAAACAGGCACAGATAAATTCTATTCCAACTCTTAACTGTTATAAGCTTGATGGCCCTGAAAAGGGCCGTTTTATTGAAGAGGACATCTATGTGTAGTGTAGGAGAGAGCATCACGGACCTCATTTTCCAGGAACACCTTCAGCACACCTCGTAGATCAGACCGGAGATACGTTTGACACCACCACGGCGAGCCAGACGACCGATGGCGGTTATTACGAATAACTTTGCGATGACGCTTGGCGCCTCCTTTACCAAACCTTTTCCTCCTTTGCCACGACCAGTCAATTGTTGCTTGTTGGGTGTGAAGGAGTGGACTAGCCACCACCTTCCTACTGCTGCTATTGCTGCTCACCACGCCGTCCGAAGCGAAAATAAGCTGATGCCATACAGCAGCGCTCTTTTATATCTTTTCAGGTTAAAGCAGAATGATGTGCAACCCAGCGGTACTCGATTATGAGGACTGGGTTTGGGAAGAACGTTTATTTCATGAAAACAGTGATATCATTATAACTTTTTATTTGTACATTGGACAATGCTTGACATTACCACTTTTTTAACACTTTCACGCTAAAAATCATCATTCGGAAGCAAAGTTTAAGATGCGTCGAAAGATTTCTGACCGATTGGTGATAAAATTATTGAAATTGGTCCGGAAGCAGCTGAGTTATTAATGTTCAAAATCTTTCATAATTTGTTTCATGTTCCATTTTCGGTTTTCACAGAGTGTACCCCCAGTATAGAAATGAAAGACGTAGCCCTACGTCAAAAAATCTTCAACCAGATGGTAGGAACAGGTTATGTGGAGAAATTCATAAAACGCAACGGCATTCGCTTACTGACAATCAGTGGCGAAAAATTGTCCAGCAATATTTCTGTTGTCAAACAATACAAGAAAGACTTTGCTGCGCAGATTCGGAAGGAAAATTTGTCTCCTTGTCAGATCTTCAATGCTGACGAAAGTGGGTTATTTTTCAAGAGATCCCCAACCAGAACATATGTCGAGAGAGACGCCAAATCAGCTCCGGGATTCAAAATCAACAAAGATCGGATTACGTTGTAACTCGGGGTTCATGCCTAGCAGCAACATGGATGGGTCGCTCAAATTACCGTTAATGTTGATTGGGAAGTCTCACAGACCTCGAGCACTACAAAATCTTAAGGAGTTGGACTTCCCGTAATCGCCACCCTTGTGGTGGACAATTGCACAGCACATCCCTAATAAAAATAACCATAAAAGAGAGCTTAACGACGTGTTCGGGGTATCATCCAAACCATTTGTGGAATAGTTTACCCATCCGGGATACAGTTCGTTTATGGTATTTGTTTATTAGGGATTACAATGCAGATGAGCTTAAAACTGCCGATGGATCAATGTTTACCATATTTCTCCCTGCAAACACCACCGTCGTTCTTCAACCGATGGATCAAAATATCATTCAGATGAGTAAGACACGCTACAGGAATCTGATGATGCAGGAAATTCAAATTCGCGGAGGAAAGCTTGACAAATGCGTGAAGAAGCTTAACATAAAGGACGTCATCTTAAGGGTCGTTCAAGCGTGGGATGTAGCTCCAGCTGACTCGATTCGCAAATCTTGGAGCGTACTTTACAATGCCCGTGAAATTGAGGATGAGGATGATGTACCGCTGTCCGTCGTAAGAGACACGCTGAGAAGCATTGCTGAGAAGATAGCGCAGACTGAAGAAATCGACGAGGAGGATGCTGAATTCGAAACGCTGGACGATGATGGGGTCATCGCTAGTGTTCTTCACGAAGATGCTGACAATGACATTTCCTATGCCGGTGACATTTCTTATGCCGGAAGAAGCATCACAATCTGCGAGTTTTGGAAATGATGACGAATATGTAAACGTGTCGGATTGCCAGATTGCCAAAAACTCGCGTCATTTTGTGTAAAATAGCGAAAAGAATAGAGTGATGCGTCGAAAAAAACTGCATTTGAATTTTTCGAAAATGCATCAAAGTAAATTGAACCTTAAATGGGTTCGATCTGGTAATCAGATACGCGGAAGAGAACAATTTACCACTGACTACACAGTTCTCGCTGCGTCAGATGTGTAATTTGACAATCAGCAGTAGGAACACACAACGCTCGGTAGTCTGTTCGGTTAAAGAGGAATAACCGAGCTGTCGTTAGTTATTTTTGCTACCCACAATCTGTCAAAGGTACCGAAAATCTCGGTTGACGAAAAATAAATTTTTAGCAGAAATAACCGAACATCGGTTTACTCAAGAATTACCGAACGCTGTCAAACAAACCGACCCACCTGTTGTTATTACGGAATTCGGTTCTCTTGGGCAGCGCTCGGTTTTCACTTGAAATCCTGCATTAAATTTTGATTAAGGATAAGTTGCTTCAAATTTTCATAAAAATAAAACCAGTTTTGTCAAATAAATCTATAAAATATAATAAATTAATTTGTTTGGACGAATAAAAACTTCCGTAACGCGAGTTACAGCGTGGACAAGTACAGTAAAAAAAAAAACATCATTGACTTTGAAGTCATTCTTAAGTTTAGTTAGTTTTAGTTTAGTTTTAGTTTTAGTTTAAAAAATGCCTTTGCAAGCCAGATCACGATTATCACGGCAGGAGAAACAAACTATAGCACAAGATGCCTGCAAATAAAATCATACCGTTAGTTTCAAATACTTACAAAACATTTAAATAAAACTTGCATCCTCCTGTTGCAGCTGCTCCAGAACTTTTTCAATTTTTACTAAAGTTTTGCACACGTCCGACCTGCCTAATTTTAGACTCAGCTTTGAGAACCGAGTTTTCGGCAAAAATTTCCGTCGCGAAGTTGAGTGCAAGTGGAACGTTTGACGTTTAACACGTTTTAGCGAATATTCGGTTCAGTTTACCGAGTTTCTCGGTTTTCACGTAGCGAATTCGTAAATGTCGATACATTATAAGAATATAAAAAAAAATAAAAACATATAAAACTTGAAATAAAATTGAAAGAATAATTCCTAAATAAACAATTTTAGGTTAATTATTTTATAGAAAAAGAAAAGATTTTAAAAAATCTGGAGAAAAATATGCTTCGATATAACGTAACGAAAATAAAAATTGAGCTACGTTGTATCGAGGTACCGTTCCGATTCAAATTTCGAACACTTTCATTTTTAATTAAATATTACATCCAGTTAGAAACAAAGTAATAATGTTAAATGATCGTGGAGGGCACTAGTCAAAAAAATTTAAAATTTACAAGACATGTGGATCATATTCGACCGAGATAATCAACTTTTAAAAGTGTCCGAAATTCGAGTTTAAGTGTCCGAAATTTGAATCGGCACGGTATGACTGCACAACTAAACATCAATCCCATTTTCTTAGCCTACACGTAGCATGCTGCCAAAGCACACACCGCTCTCAAAACATAACTCTCTTCTCTTCATAACCACTACCGTGACGACGACGGACGACCGATCTCTTCCTTCCTCGCTCTCTGGCGACAATCTTACAAGCAACAGAAAGAGCTTTACCATAAAAGCTCACAAGCATTGGCTTACCATGCCAACCGACGCAGCATCGTGAGCGGAACAGTAGGCGCATTTTCGCTGCTAACAATGCAAACGAAAAGTTTAGATCCGTGAGATTGGTTATCTACTGGATATAAGATAGAATCTACCGTTGACAGCTTGTGTGTTTAAATCGTACTTCTCGTAGTTTTTACCATTTGAAGATTTTCATAACGGAGTTATGAAAATGAACCCCTTTTCATTCCGCTCACCGATCGGTCACTCGAAATGAACATCAACCAACTGCAGCAGTGAAATGCATTCTCCCGCTCAGCCGGGATGCTTCAGTGTCAAGATCACCGTCGTGCTTATTGCACACAGTTTGTTTTTCCTCTTTCCTTAAATTTCAGCTGATTATCATCACTTTAGCTAATTGATTTCAAAGCACCTTGTTCAAACAGTTTGTTCAAATTTCTTGCATGACTGTGTTGGTGGGACACCGAGTGATAAGAACAATAGGTTGTGAAGGTTCGATCTTTTTTTTTCAACCGTCAACAGTTGTCAGCAATTGATGCCTTCGGGTTCGGGATCATTTCGCTGGAATTAAACTTGAGCCGATTGCCTTCCAGAATAGATCATGAGGATCCCGTGCATGTTTAAGGTGTGATTTGTGGTGTGGATAGCCGTTGTCCTGTGAAAAGTAATTGTGCAGTGAATTGTCGCTTTTTATTATTGGAATATTTATTTGGTTCAGGTAAGATTGCACATGTTTGAACGTAGTTTGAGAAGAGCTACTCAGAAACGACCATTCGGTGAAGCATTTCTATTATTCTCCACAAGTGCATGTTTGGTAGTAATTAATCAATGCCCTTCGAACTTTGCACCGTTTTGTGATAGCAGCAGCCGCAGCAGCAGCAGGAAGACGTGATTGACGGGTAGTGAGAAATGCATTTCAGATGCTCGTCGCTTTTTTGTGATATTTTTTTTTTCGCAAGCCAAGAGGGTAATGTGCATTATAGGAAAAAACAACAGTCCAGAAAAAAATATCGACACTGTGAATCAGGGCCTCACGTTCCAGAAGAAATTGAACAGCCCGAAAAAAAAACGCATGTCCAGGCAATGACACCACTTGGTTAGGTTATTCATTTCTCCCCTGCAGAGATAGTGTCTTCGCTGGTAATAAATCATTGTTATGACGTACAATCATATGGAACGAATTTTGATGTATTGGAATAAATAATTACTGACACAAATTACTGCGGGAGTTAAATATATTAACTAGATTTTAATGTCTGCAAGGGAATTGTAATTGGGGAGTGATATGCGATGCTTTGTCAGCATCCGATACTATCCGATGCCGGGAGCCATCTTTTGTCTTCTTTTGTTTTCTCTAAGCAATCGGCTAGAAAAACATTAATTCAAGCGGAACAATGCATTCGGTCCTAAGTAACATTGACAGATTCTTTTCGTAGACTTTCTCTTTGCATCATCACGGCCATGTTAAGACATTCTCAGCTATTTAAATCAACACATCTATGAAAGGAGCTATTATCTATCTTCTAATACGACAAACACGCCAAGAAACGGTTATGTACCCAAGCTATTAAAGAAAAAGAAAGTCGATGAAGAGAATCGAGAATGTTTCGTACGACCTAATGCATTGTTCAGCTTGAATTGATTTGTTTTTTTTTCAATCTTTTTTATTGTTGCCGCATCTGATTTCTATGTTTATGAGATTATTTATTTTTACAACCTCATCTACAATTACTGTCTTGATGAGAGATACGATGGGGAAAAGCATTTATGGTTAAAATGTGGCTTTGACACGAATCAAAAAGTTGATATGTTGTAAAAAATAATAGATGAGAAATTTCATATGAATATAAGTACTGAAAAAAATTTAAGGGAAACATTTGTGAGTCATATAAAATTTGTATACAAAACTAATTCACTCATTTACTATAACTTTAACACCGGGGAGCCAGCAGTCATAATCCACTTACCTTTAATGAAATATATACCACACGCTTATTCTGGTCAACTCAAAATTGAGTCGAATGTACTCATCTCAGCGGCAAGTAGGGCTACTCAAAATTGAGTAGCCTTATGTTGACTCAATTTTGAGTAATCTACGTTCTCACGTAGACTGAGTCAAATCCACTCAGCGATATTTTCAGTTGCGGGGAGAGTTTTTGTTTTGATTTTTATTTAAGGAAATTGAAATTTCCTGCTCCGGATTCATTCTACCGGAGCAGAAAATGCTTCGAAACCGTTTCCCTAAGCAATTCCTTCTTACCTGAAGGCATTTCAGCCGGTTTTGAGTAACTTTTCCTAGGAAGTTTCCTCCAACATGGTTGACATTTTTTCTAAGTCTAGGATTTTGCTGACTGAGTGGCTTTTACTCAGTTTGACATTTCTCGTTTACTCAGTTTTTGACAACTCGATACATCGGACGAAAGTGAGTACGATCGACTCACCCGGTGAGTAAGCTGAAGTTAGCGTGCATGCCCAACATACAATTTATTTTATTTGAATACATGAGGAATAAAATTGTTATGAGATCATCGACTTAAATTAGCTCTTATCTAGTCAAGGGCATAGCCAGGGTCTGAAATAGAGGGGGCAAACCGGTTATTGGGCCGAATAGTCAAATGGACCTTTAAACTAGAGAGTCCTTCCAAGGAAATCTTGGGATGATGGAATTCCGGAATTCCTGGATTTTTACTATTGCCGGGATGTCCCGAAAATTCTGTCTCAATTGCCTGGAATCGGTAGCCTCCGCATCATTTGACGTTTGTTTGTAGAAAATTTTATTAAATCTGAAATTTAAGCTTTCAACTTCAACAGCTTTCCTGGGCCAAGCAATGTATGATTTTTGTTTATTGTGGTTTATTTTGTTTATTAAACGGCAGAATAGCTGCTGAGCTGCACACTAGAATCAACCTGTGGAAACTAACGATTTTAAATCGGCTCACTACTTGACTAGCCTATTGGTCCGAAGTACATCTATAAGCTAGTCAAAATTCTAGTACTACCCTATATTTGTTTTGATTCACTATGAAAGTTTGACAGATAAAATTAGGGGTTCATGGATTTTCCTAGAGAGGGTCTAGTATAAGAGAGGAGCGGACTAGCTGGTTTTGAGCCAAATGAACTGTCAAAGCCAGAGCCAATCGAGCAGCACCTATCTTGTTTGCTTTGGCAGTGTTGCCACCCAGGCATACGTTGCCAAGCCAGTTTGTTTTGAATCCACTCCTCTCTTATACTACATCCTCTCTAGATTTTCCTTTGTTTCGAGGGGTGTATCGATTAGCTTTGGACTGAAGAGAATGTTTCTTCGAGACCTTCTGGTCTTAGAGTTACCTGTAGCAAGAGGTGGCAACAAACTCTCAATCTGACACCGTCAGTATTTTTTTCTTCTTTCAATTAATCATTTTGTCAAGCTTCTGCATTCATGTTCCATCCTTAGATGTCACTACTGTTGTTTGCGGTGACATCTGTCGGAAACTACACACAATCTCTTTTTCGTTAATTATTCACAGAGGACACTGCAGTGAAAAATATGTCTGGTACCTCTATACATGCATTTAGATTATTATTCGAAGTCCCTCGTTTTGTACACATTCTGCACACAAAATAGCTCACCCTCACAGAATTTCCGGCCGATTTTTATGAATGGGGTGAGGCATAAAGTATCTTTTGCGCAGAGTATGTAAAAAAGGAGGGACTTCAAATGTTAAAGTAAATGCATATATAGAGGTACCAGACATGTTTGTAGTATCAGGTACTCTATTTTGTAATCTGTGAAAGGGAAATCACCAATCAAGTGTCATCAAAATACATGGCATGTTGAGAGATTGAGGTCGTGAGAGCTAATTTTCTCTCTCAAATTTGATTTTTTTGGCTCTCTGGGGACTGGTAAAGTAAAGCAGGTAAAACTGTGTGGGGAAAAGTCATTTTTATTTAATTGTAGCTTGTTTAACAATAGTTTCCGGGAAAAAACTGAACGACAAAGTCCCTGACTAATTTATTTAGGTTGTCGTTCACTTTTTTTTTACTTAAATATGCACCGAAAGCGATACATTCCCACTCCCCGAGGGGGCGACTCTATCTACGATGCAGAAAAGATTGTGTTTTGCTGTGGCTAGCTGCACGCACGCTGAGTAGATAGAAGGAAGATTTATGTCGATTTTGAAGATTTCCTGCAAAAAGATGAAGCACGATGCAAGTAGATGCGAGAAATGAAATTTCCTTATTCGAAGATTGATTCGCTAGTGTGTGCTTTTTTGAGCATCTAGAATTGAGATTTAGATATGTTGCCCTCCTCGCACTTCTCTCAAATTCTATATGGGAATTTTTATCACTTCCTACCAGCGGAACAGCGCCATCTCTGTGGAAAATGGCCGGATGATATGATTAATTGGGTTGTTTAGGGGTATTGACAAGGGGTGTTCAACTCTGCACATTCCAATCTATGCCAAGTACTTTATCTGTCCTGAAGGTTAGGTCAAGTGTTATGCCGAATGTGTCGTACTGTGGCAATCGAAGTCTCAGTCTCAGTAACCCATGTGTTTGGCAACCCTGCACTTATGACTTTTGAGATTGTGTGTTTACATGTTCAAGTCAAGGACGGAAAAAGTTGTGAAACTTAATTCCAAGATAATATTCAACGAGCTGGTTGCCGGTCATCCGCCTCAAGGAAGTGGCGCTTAAAACTAGAAGGTCTAACCAACCGGTGGAAACTAACGATTTAAAATTGGCTCATTACTTGACTAGCCTATTGGTCCTAAGCAAATCGATTAACGTGCCCCATTCTAGTCGAAATTCTAGTACTACTATATGTTTGTTTTGATTCGCTATGAAAGTTTGACAGACAAAATGAGGGATTCGTGGAATTTCCTATGTTTCGAGGGGTGAATCGATTAGCTTGGGACCGAGGAGAGTACCAGAGCTGAGCCAAAAAGTTGAGCACGTTTCTTCGGGACCTTCTGGTCTTAGAGTTACCTCTTTGGTGTAATCGTCCTGTTACAAAGGTCCAAGACAATATTTGAAATATGCACCATACGATAGAGCATTCAAATAAATTTGACAGACGATACGGCCATGCTTAACGGCGATTGCTGAATAAGGCGTGCATGGCCGCGACAAAATGGTGACACGGAGTCACAGGTGATGAGCTGAAGAACTGCGATGCTCAAGGAATGGCCATCGCGGACTTGATCTCAGGCGAGCGAGTAGACTAGAAGCAACCGGTGAAAACTTACTCACTACTTGACTAGCCTATTGGTCCCAAGCAAACGAATAACCCATTCTAGTCGAAATTCTAGTACTATACTATGAAAGTTTGACAGATAAAATGAGGGGTTCGTGGATTTTCCCTTGTTTCGAGGGGTGCATCGATTAGCTTGGGACCGAAGATAGTACCAGAGCTGAGTCAAAAAGTTGAGCACGTTTCTTCGGGACCTTCTAGTCTTAGAGTTACCTCTATGCTAGAAGTGTCTGTGGAGTAGACTTTTAACAAGCATATCAAGTGCGAGTAGTGAACCAAGCCGACGTACGGTAGACGCACTAGTTCGACCGCCATCTCACTGTAGTTACCGGTATACTGGTCACTGTTACTTTTCGACAAGGCCAGCCTTGTAGAATCCACCATTGCCGAAATTGTTTCGGATTCTCAGTGAGCGGGGGTACCGCCATCTTGCCGACAAGAGCGGCCTTTCATCATCCACCATCGACAGAATCATTCCGGAAATG